TGACATTGAACCGTACTTTAACAAAGAAAGTATATCTGATATTTGTTCTCTTAAATCTATGACATCCCTGGTAAACCTGTGGCGGAACAGTAACTGAGGTACAGGGCTGATTTGACAGTGGCAGATGAACATTTACAATCAAGGCTCTTTCTCCCCCTGTTGGCTGATCGGGTACAGTGCAGCTGGGAGTTGGCTCATCTCTAAATGCTGAAGTTGTGCAGCCTGGTCTCAGACTAGACGTAACATGGTAAAAGTAAATCCGAAAACACTCAAATTAGTATGAGACTGTATGTTAAGTTCGGCATGGTTGGGGCATATAACGCAAACGTCTAGCAACCCAAAGGTTGCGTGTTCAAATCTCATAAAGAAACAACTTTAGCATTTGAGATAATTTGCAACTTTTCAACTACTTACTACTTGTTAGCTACTTAGCATGTTAGCTAACCCTTCCCCTTTAACATAACTCCTAAAATTAACCCTAACCTTAACCCTAACCTCTGGTCTAGCTAATGTTAGCCAGCTAGCTAACGTTTGCCACCTAGCTAGAATTTGTATCATAACATATATTTTTCAAATTCGTAACATATTGTACGTTTTCTAATTTGTAATATTGTGCATTTTGTAAATTCGTTAAATATTGTACTTTTGGCAAATTCGTAGCATATTGTGCGTGTTGCAAATTCGGAACATTTAATACTAATTGTAATTTGTAACATGTCATACGAAATGTGTAATGGACATCCACAAATTAATACATACCATACGAAATGTAACATATCATAATAAATGAAGCATCTCGGATTATGTAAAGTATATTACGAAATGCTCTGAGACCAGGTTGAGCTGGGAGGTGGCTCATCTCTCTAAACCTGGAGCTGGGAGGTGGCTCATCTCTCTAAACCTGGAGCTGGGAGGTGGCTCATCTCTATAAACCTGGAGCTGGGAGGTGGCTCATCTCTATAAACCTGGAGCAGGGAGGTGGCTCATCTCTTTAAACCTGGAGCTGGGAGGTGGCTCATCTCTATAAACCTGGAGCTGGGAGGTGGCTCATTTCTTTAAACCTGGAGCTGGGAGGTGGCTCATTTCTTTAAACCTGGAACTGGGAGGTGGCTCATCTCTCTGGAGCTGGGAGGTGGCTCATCTCTATAAACCTGGAGCTGGGAGGTGGCTAATTTCTTTAAACCTGGAGCTGGGAGGTGGCTCATCTCTTTAAACCTGGAGCTGGGAGATGGCTCATCTCTATAAACCTGGAGCTGGGAGGTGGCTCATCTCTTTAAACCTGGATCTGGGAGGTGGCTCATCTCTATAAACCTGGAGCTGGGAGGTGGCTCATCTCTATAAACCTGGAGCTGGGAGGTGGCTCATCTCTATACACCTGGAGCTGGGAGGTGGCTCATCTCTATAAACCTGGAGCTGGGAGGTGGCTCATCTCTATACACCTGGAGCTGGGAGGTGGCTCATCTCTATAAACCTGGAGCTGTGAGGTGGCTCATCTCTATAAACCTGGAGCTGGGAGGTGGCTCATTTCTTTAAACCTGGAGCTGGGAGGTGGCTCATCTCTATAAACCTGGAGCTGGGAGGTGGCTCATCTATATAAACCTGGAGCTGGGAGGTGGCTCATTTCTTTGAACCTGGAGCTGGGAGGTGGCTCATTTCTTTAAACCTGGAGCTGGGAGGTGGCTCATTTCTTTAAACCTGGAGCTGGGAGGTGACTCATCTCTATAAACCTGGAGCTGGGAGGTGGCTCATCTCTATAAACCTGGAGCTGGGAGGTGGCTAATTTCTTTAAACCTGGAGCTGGGAGGTGACTCATCTCTATAAACCTGGAGCTGGGAGGTGGCTCATTTCTTTAAACCTGGAGCTGGGAGGTGGCTCATCTCTATAAACCTGGAGCTGGGAGGTGGCTCATCTATATAAACCTGGAGCTGGGAGGTGGCTCATTTCTTTGAACCTGGAGCTGGGAGGTGGCTCATTTCTTTAAACCTGGAGCTGGGAGGTGGCTCATTTCTTTAAACCTGGAGCTGGGAGGTGGCTCATCTCTATAAACCTGGAGCTGGGAGGTGGCTCATCTCTATAAACCTGGAGCTGGGAGGTGACTCATCTCTATAAACCTGGAGCTGGGAGGTGGCTCATCTCTATAATACCTGGAGCTGGGAGGTGGCTCATTTCTTTAAACCTGGAGCTGGGAAGTGGCTCATCTCTATAAACCTGGAGCTGGGTACACACTGTCATACTCAATGATTATTTCATTGAGAGCAATATGAAACAATGGCTTCTACAATAATGTAGAAGTGCTTTATGATTGAACTAGGACGTTTTATACACTGCTCAAAATAATAAAGGGAACACTAAAATAACACATCCTAGATCTGAATGAATTAAATAATCTTATGAAATACTTTTTTCTTTACATAGTTGAATGTGCTAACAACAAAATCACACAAAAATTATCAATGGAAATCAAATTTATCAACCCATGGAGGTCTGGATTTGGAGTCACCCTCAAAATTAAAGTGGAAAACCACACTACAGGCTGATCCAACTTTGATGTTATGTCCTTAAAACAAGTCAAAATGAGGCTCAGTAGTGTGTGTGGCATCCACGTGCCTGTATGACCTCCCTACAACGCCTGGGCATGCTCCTAATGAGGTGGCGGATGGTCTCCTGAGGGATCTCCTCCCAGACCTGGACTAAAGCATCCGCCAACTCCTGGACAGTCTGTGGTGCAACGTGGCGTTGGTGGATGGAGCGAGACATGATGTCCCAGATGTGCTCAATTGGATTCAGGACTGGGGAACGGGCGGGCCAGTCCATAGCATCAATGCCTTCCTCTTGCAGGAACTGCTGACACACTCCAGCCACATGAGGTCTAGCATTGTCTTGCAGTAGGAGGAACCCAGGGCCAACCGCACCAGCATATGGTCTCACAAGGGGTCTGAGGATCTCATCTCGGTACCTAATGGCAGTCAGGCTACCTCTGGCGAGCACATGGAGGGCTGTGCGGCCCCCCCAAAGAAATGCCACCCCACACCATGACTGACCCACCGCCAAACCGGTCATGCTGGAGGATGTTGCAGGCAGCAGAACGTTCTCCACGGTGTCTCCAGACTCTGTCACGTCTGTCACATGTGCTCAGTGTGAACCTGCTTTCATCTGTGAAGAGCACAGGGCGCCAGTGGTGAATTTGTCAATCTTGGTGTTCTCTGGCAAATGCCAAACGTCCTGCACGGTGTTGGGCTGTAAGCACAACCCCCACCTGTGGACGTCGGGCCCTCATACCACCCTCATGGAGTCTGTTTCTGACCGTTTGAGCAGACACATGCACATTTGTGGCCTGCTGGAGGTCATTTTGCAGGGCTCTGGCAGTGCTCCTCCTGCTCCTCCTTGCACAAAGGCGGAGGTAGCAGTCCTGCTGCTGGGTTGTTGCCCTCCTACGGCCTCCTCCATGTCTCCTGATGTACTGGCCTGTCTCCTGGTAGCGCCTCCATGCTCTGGACACTACGCTGACAGACACAGCAAACCTTCTTGCCACAGCTCGCATTGATGTGCCATCCTGGATGAGCTGCACTACCTGAGCCACTTGTGTGGGTTGTAGACTCCGTCTCATGCTACCACTAGAGTGGATGCACCGCCAGCATTCAAAAGTGACCAAAACATCAGCCAGGAAGCATAGGAACTAAGAAGTGGTCTGTGGTCACGACCTGCAAAACCAGTCCTTTATTGGGGGTGTCTTGCTAATTGCCTATAATTTCCACCTGTTGTCTATTCCATTTGCACAACAGCATGTGAAATTTATTGTCAATCAGTGTTGCTTCCTAAGTGGACAGTTTGATTTCACAGAAGTGTGATTGACTTGGAGTTACATTGTGTTGTTTAAGTGTTCCCTTTATTTTTTTGAGCAGTGTACAAGTGGCCAAATCATTGGACAGGCCAAAACAGTACATGCTCTGTCTATAGAAACGGTGGGAAATTAGCAAAAAGACATTCACAAAATGATTTCTCACGTTTCCTTTTATGGTAAAGGTGATTTATTCCAAAATAGTCATATGGTGTAGAGGCAAAAGAAGAAAGAGAGAAGAGAGGACTGATTAAAATAACAGAGAGAACATCTAAATATGACTTTTGCAAGAGTCTTGGCTGACGTTCTTATCAAAATACAACGACAAAAAGAAACAAAATATGTAATGATGCACACGAGCTGCGCCCTCTCAACGAGGCATGTTTAAGACTCTACATGTATTACAATGGAATAAAAAGTCACAACAGATTCTTGTCTTGAAAATAATAATGTATTGAGGCATACAAAAACCTAGAATGAATGTTCACCTGTGCTTTGTCTTGGAATATAATTGTCAAATTAACAAACTAAACACAATATACAATATATATAAATTACTTGGTTGGTATTTTCATTCAATAACGTTTCAACACAATCAACAATGATTTTCCCAAAAAGTCTTACCGTGTATACGTAGCTACTTTGTACAACCTGTATGGAGTATTGTGGTTCAACCAGCAGGGTTACTATGCTCAAATCAACTGGACACTGACGTTTGGAGACCTGCTTTAATGATACATGAATATTGGAGTGAAACTCAACTCTCTGACCCGGATAAAGAAATTGGGGGCAGGAAAAATGCCAAATGCATATTCCGTGTGATGCCCTAGACTGGAGGCCTGGACTGAAGTGGCTCTTTCTAAGATCTGCAAGTGCCCTTTTAAACATGGTTATTATCATAATTTGAGCACATTTTGAAGCCTAGGGCCACTACCAGTGAAGTCTTCTGACTGAGAAACGTTAGACATGCAAGAGTGAAAGAGTGTTGTCAGTGCTAACTAGTAAAGCCAATACAACTGTAGTATAAAGACAAAAATAACATTGTAAAAAAACGTGTTTTGTGTGTGATTGTGAAGTTGTGGTATACTGTATAGTGTTGGTTACATAGTAATACATTGGCCTGCTGAGTGAGGAGGCTACTATAAGACTAATGACTGACGCTGGTCTCGTCCTCAGCCCAGTGATCCACAGTAATGGAGTCTCTGGAGAATCTCTCATCTCCCTCCAACACACAGGTGCTGTATCCATCACACTGACTGCCAACCCAGGCTAAATCAACACTGACAGTCTGCATCTCCTTCCTCCCCCAGCCCTAACAAAGAGAAACACAGATAGACAGCAGAGCCCCCTAGCAGGGCTGGACATTACAGGCACGGATCTCCTTCTTGTCCTTGCAGCTGGTGATCTGTGTGGGGGCACTCTTGGCTCTCTTCTTCAAAGCCATGAAGCGCTCCTGAATCCCCCCGCCGCAGTGCTTGGTACAGTCCGTCCAACTGGACCAGGGCCTCATCTTGCAACCTGTGGGAACAAGTCAATGAGATGAGAGAGCGGGATTTCCAACCTGGTCTCAGAGCATTTTGTATTATTCTGTTTGTAAATCCAAGAAACTCCATTTCGTATGATATGCTACGAATTACAAATCGTATTACATGTTACAATTTTGCAATCCGTATGATTTTTACAAACTCTAGCTAGCTCGATAACGTTAGCTAGGCTAGGGATTAGGGTTAGGGGTTAGGGTTAAGTTTAGGAGTTAGGTTAAATGGTTAAGGTAAGGGTTAGCTAACATGCTAAGTATTTGCAAAGTAGCTAAAAAGTAGTAAGTAGTTGAAATGTTGCTAATTAGCTGAAATGCTGAAGTTGTCCGTGATGCGATTGGAATTCTCAACCTTTGGGTTACTAGACTTCCGTGTTATATGCCTACCCATCTACCCCGACCAACCACCCTCCTTTTGTTTTTGCCTTAATTAACCAACTGTCTTATGTAACCATAACAAACGTAACATAACATACTAAATGGAGTGTCTCAGATTTACATACAGAATAATACAAAATGGCCGAGACCAGGTTGGGGTTTAAGGTGGCTTTCCTTAGTTAGTCAAATCAATCATGCACCAAATATCTTACTTGATTATGACATTAATTGATGTGAGCAAGCACAAGTGAGACATATCAAATGTGCAATGTTCAAGCCTTAATTTCATGACCAATCATTCTTAGCCTTACATTAGACTGAACAATCATCCATGCTCCAGAGAGCATGGAGTCCCGGTCCGCTCCCCACCGCCCTTTATTACTGATGATGAATGGTGGGTGGTGTGGGTTGTGGTGGTGGAGGGGGGTTATGCTGCCCCAGACAGATCTGTGGGGGTATTTGTCACCGTCACCAGCTCATTAGTCCCAGGTTAAAGAAGCCTGTCTCTATGGGGATGCAACAGTACAAAGCCCACCCTGACTGCTCTGCTTCTACCTGTGGGAGCAATCAGGACGGCCATCTGTGAGCAGGCCCAGTCACTTTATCAACCTGACAGGGCTGATCAGCACTGAGTGTAGCCACTCTAACACAGCCAGGCAGGGAGGGAGAGGGGGAGGGAGGAAGCATTGATCCTCTCAGGACTTGGGCAGGTGGATTAAGAGTGGGCTGCATGGGACATTTGACCTTTTGACCTGAGGAATGTCCGTGCTGAGCTAAAGGGTAGAGCTGCCACTTTCAAGGAGCGGGACTCTAACCCGGACGCTTATAAGAAATCCCGCTATGCCTTCAGACAAACCATCAAACAGGCAAAGCGTATGTTACGAACCCCGTGGCTTTAAAAGTCTAGGGTGGATGGAAAAGAGGCCCGTAACATAACTCATGCAAATTAGGCTATTGCCAAGGAACAGTGAGAACAGAATACGCCAACAACAAAATGTTTATTATAAAAACACACAGTAAATGGTTTGGGAAAAAGGGGCTGAGCTGGACCCAAGGAATGAAACAATAAAGTCAAAACCCCCTAAACTGATCTTGCCTGCCTCAAGAACTACTAAGCTTACTGCTAACCATACAAAATACAGTGGGTGGTCCGCTCAGGTCTAACTGGTGTGTTTAGACAAGGTTTCCTATGGGTAGTGTATGCCCAAGGGCGACTTGCTAAATCCCCCTTTTCCCAGGCACAAACAAACAATATAGGTACCATACGGACTAAACAATTAACGAGTGCGTACACAAAAACAAGACACCACCGTATACATACTCACAAACAAAAAGAGTCTCTGTCAGCAAACACAACTGACTAGCTTTTAAAACAAGGGGATGTGTGATATGATTGGGTAAGAAAACAGAAACAGGTGGTGCAATCAGCAGATTAACTGATGACTGACAGGTGGGACACACCAACGACCTCCAATCAGGAACGCAAAGGACACCTGTGATTAGGGCAGAAGGAGAGGAAAAACACATACAGAATACCTGTATCCGTAACACTCCCACCCTTAAAAGAGCAAACCACAATGGTTTGCGACACACGTACTATGACAACACACAAAAATTCAAAGATCAACAGCATCCTGACGGGATAACAAAAAATCCTAGATCTCTAAACACGAGACAAAGCATCTGCCAACCCTTTTGTGGCGGATCTCCAAATTATAATTTTGCACAACAAGTGCCCAACGCATAAGGCGTTGGTTCTGGTTGTACATTCGGTGGAGAAAAACTAAGGGGTTATGGTCAGTATACACTATCACTGGTAGTGCACTGGAACCAACATAGACGTCGAAGTACTGCAGAGCTAACAACAAAGCTAGGGCTTCTTGTTCAATGGTTGAATAGTTAGTTTGACATTTGTTACATTTCCGCGAAAAATAACAGACAGGATGGTCCACTCCACTCTGGTCCGGCTGCAGTAGAACAGCACCAGCACCTCTGGCACTTGCATCTACCTCCAGTTTAAACGTCTATTCAAAATCTAGCGCAGCAAGAACAGGGGTACTACATAAGAGTGCTTTAGCAGTGTTGAAAGCAGTGTGACAATCTGCAGACCATACACATTTTCTCGGCGGACTGAGCAAATCCGTTAATGGAGCAACTACCGCAGATACATTTTTACAGAAACTACGGTAGTAGCCAACCATCACTAAAAAGCGGCGTAGCTCTCTTCTATTGGTAGGTGCGGGAAATGCATTTATAGCTGAGACCTTGGCATCTACAGGCCGCACCTGACCATGGCCGACCTGTTTACCAAGATAAGTAACAGTGGCCTTCCCAAACTCGCACTTTGCTAAGTTCAGGGTTAGAGAAGCGGCTGCTAGACGTTCACACACTACCCTTAGAGTGTTAATATGATCTGACCACTCAGTAGAATAAATGACAAGATCATCAAGGTAAGCACTACAATTAGGAGCTCCAGCCAATACTGTGTTAACCAGGCGTTGGAAAGTGGCTGGTTCGTTCCGCATCCCAAATGCCATGACAGCATATTGTAGGAAGTGGTCTGGGGTCACAAAGGCAGAGATGTCGGAGGCACGTGAGGTTAACGGCACCTACCAGTAACCTTTTAGAAGATCTAGTTTGGTTTCATAAGTAGCAGCACCAACAGTGTCAATACAGTCATCCAGTCTGGGTAACGGGAACGAGTCGGGCACTGTGACAGCATTGACCTTTCGATAGTCCATACATAACATGGATGTCCCATCAGGTTTGGAAACCAGAATGCACGGAGAACTCCAAGGACTTGAACTTGGCATAGCCAGGTTATTCTCCAGCAAATACCAACTTCATCCCTCATTATCTTTATTTTAGAGACGTTGACACGATAAGCATGTTGCTTGATAGGTGCAGCATTTCCAACATTAATGTCATGTTCTAGCACATTTGTGCGTGTAGGAACATAATTAAAAAGACATGGAAAGCTGTGTAATAGCCTCACAATATAATCTGTCTGTCCATCCGTTAAATGAATCAGGCTTGACGGGAGAGACAACAGCATCTCTGAATTGGGCAATCTAGCACACTGCTGCTGAGTATTGCGCAACTCCAAACCATCTCCGTCCACATCATTAACATGACCTCCCACTACAACCGCAGCAGCAATAGAGACGGCTGTCTCGGCCAGTTTCTCTGGACTGTCTATCTGAGTGACGGGTCTGGTGTGGTATGTCTTCAACATGTTAATGTGGCACACACGAGATTGGCGTTTTCTATCAGGAGTCTGTATCACGTAATCAGTTTCACTTAGTTTCTTTTCAATTACATAAGGACCAGAGAAACGTGCTGACAATGACGCTCCTGGCATCACTGTCGGACAGTGGGGAGAGTGGGTCAAAACGGGGCAATGTGGCTGGAGCCTCGCTCTCGTCCTCAGACACCGACGGGCTTACAGGAGCAGCAGCCACATCCCCTACAGGAACAGCAGGCGGCGGTAACGCAAGCACTCGCTCGTTCAATAATGTCTCTAACACCGCTTTCCTAACTTTTGCTTTCACTAAAACCCTTGGTATGGGTACAGAAAAGTGGTCAGCCAAAGCCTGTAGATCCACTCTATGGCAATTATCAAAAACCTCCCACGTAGGGTTTTCCAAAAAGGCATCCAAATCACAAGTAGCCATCTTAAGCTAGCAACATGAGCCGACGAATACTGCACACGAAACCAGCTAGTCACAGCTGACAAGTTCAACACTGAACCAGACACTAAACCAATTTGCATGAGTGGTATGGGTATCATTGAGATAAATCCCAGACGAGCCCCCACGTTATGTTACGAACCCCTTGGCTTTAAAAGTCTAGGGTGGATGGAAAAGAGGCCCGTAACATAACTCATGCAAATTAGGCTATTGCCAAGGAACAGTGAGAACAAAATACGCCAACAACCAAATGCTACCGTCAAACACAAAACGTTTATTATAAAAACACACAGTAAATGGTTTGGGGAAAAGGGGCTGAGCTGGACCCAAGGAATGAAACAATAAAGTCAAAACCCCCTAAACTGATCTTGCCTGCCTCAAGAACTACTAAGCTTACTGCTAACCATACAAAATACAGTGGGTGGTCCGCTCAGGTCTAACTGGTGTGTTTAGACAAGGTTTCCTACGGGTAGTGTATGCCCAAGGGCGACTTGCTAAATCCCCCTTTTCCCAGGCACAAACAAACAATATAGGTACCATACGGACTAAACAATTAACGAGTGCATACACAAAAACAAGACACCACCGTATACATACTCACAAACAAAAAGAGTCTGTCAGCAAACACAACTGACTAGCTTTTAAAACAAGGGGATGTGTGATATGATTGGGTAAGAAAACAGAAACAGGTGGTGCAATCAGGAGAAATGTCCACTGATTGGTCCACCTCAGCAATCAGCAGATTAACTGATGACTGACAGGTGGGACACACCAACGACCTCCAATCAGGAACAAAAAGGACACCTGTGATTAGGGCAGGAGAGGAAAAACACAAAAACACATACACGTAACACGTAAATACAGGACTAAGATTGAATCCTACTACACCAGCTCCGACGCTCATCGGATGTGGCAGGGCTTGCAAACTATTACAGACTACAAAGGGAAGTCCAGCCGCGAGCTGCCCAGTGACACAAGCCTACCAGACGAGCTAAATGACTTCTATGCGCGCTTCGAGGCAAGCAACACTGAAGCATGCATGAGAGCACAAACTGTTCCAGACGACTGTGTGATCACGCTCGCCGTAGCCGATGTGAGTAAGAGCTTTAAACAGGTCAACATTCACAAGGCCGCAGGGCCAGACGGATTACCAGGACGTGTACTCCGAGCATGCGCTGACCAACTGGCAAGTGTCTTCACTGACATTTTCAACCTGTCCCTGGCCAAGTCTGTAATACCTACATGTTTCAAGCAGACCACCATAGTCCCTGTGCCCAAGAACACCAAGGTAACCTGCCTAAATGACTACAGACCCGTAGCACTCACATCTGTAGCCATGAAGTGCTTTGATAGGCTGGTCATGGCGCACATCAACACCATCATCCCAGAAACCCTAGACCCACTCAATTTGCATACTGCCCCAACAGATCCATAGATGACGCAATCTCTATTGCACTCAACACTGCCCTTTCCCACCTGGACAAAAGGAACACCTACGTGAGAATGCTGTTCATTGACTACTCATCACTAAATTAAGGACCTTGGGACTAAACACCTCCCTCTGCAACTGGTTCCTGGACTTCCTGATGGGCCGTCCCCAGGTGGTAAGGGTAGGCAACAACACACCTGCCACGCTGATCCTCAACACGGGGGCCCCTCAGGGGTGCGTGCTTAGTCCCCTCCTGTACTCCCTGTTCACCCATGACTGCGTGGCCAAGCACAACTCCAACACCATCATTAAGTTTGCTGATGACACAACGGTGGTAGGCCTGATAACCGAAAACGATGAGACAGCCTATAGGGAGGCAGTCAGAGACCTGGAAGTGGTGGCAAGAGAACAACCTCTCCCTCAACTTGATCAAGACAAAGAAGATGATTGTGGACTACAGGAAAAAGATGAGGACCGAGCACGCCCCCATTCTCATCGACAGGGCTGTAGTGGAGCAGGTTGAGCGCTTAAAGTTCCTTGGTGTCCACATCACCAACAAACTATCCTGGTCCAAACACACCAAGACAGTCGTGAAGAGGGCACGGCAACGCCTATTCCCCCTCAGGAGACTGAAAATATCCACAAAAAGTTCCTAACTGGTTGCATCACCGCCTGGTATAATGATATAATATGCCATTTAGCAGACGATTTTATCCAAAGCGACTTACAGACATGTGTGCATACATTTTTACGTATGGGTGGTCCCGGGGATCGAACCCACTACCCTGGCGTTACAAGCGCCATGCTATACCAATTGAGCTACAGAGGACCACAGGCGGTGTCAGAGGAAGGCCCTAAAAATTGCCAAAGACTCCAGCCACCCTCGTCATAGACTGTTCTCTCTGCTACCGCACGGCAAGCGATACCGGAGCGCCAAGTCTAGGTCCAAAAGGCTTCTTAACATCTTCTACCCCCAAGCCACAAGACTCCTGAACAGCTAATCAAATGGCTAGACTATTTGCATTTAGTAAATGTTTTTCTTAACTCACATTTTTCTTAAAACTGCATGGTGGTAAGGGCTTGTAAGTAAGCGTTTCACGGTAAGGTCTACACCTGTTGTATTCAGCGCATGTGCCAAATAAAATGTTATTTTATTTTATTTACATTCTGAGATACAAACAATACCTCAGCAGGACTTATGGGGAATCTGAATGAATGATGAGTGACTTGGAAATCATCGTCAGTGACTTTCCCGATTTATTTAACCCTATATTTGGGATATAAAGGATACATCAAGGTGGTGGATAAAGCATGTATCAACGACATGAATGAAAGAGGTGATAATGACAATAATGGTGGTGATAATGATGATGAATGTCTTGATGAAGAGGATGATAATGATGATGAATGTCTTGATGAAGAGGATGATAATGATGATGATGACAAAGGTGTATATACAGTATATACAGTGGGGAAAAAAAGTATTTAGTCAGCCACCAATTGTGCAAGTTCTCCCACTTAAAAAGATGAGAGAGGCCTGTAATTTTCATCATAGGTATACGTAAACTATGACAGACAAATTGAGAAGAAAAAAATCCAGAAAATCACATTGTAGGATTTTTAATGAATTTATTTGCAAATTATGGTGGAAAATAAGTATTTGGTCACCTACAAACAAGCAAGATTTCTGGCTCTCACAGACCTGTAACTTCTTCTTTAAGAGGCTCCTATGTCCTCCACTCGTTACCTGTATTAATGGCACCTGTTTGAACTTGTTATCAGTATAAAAGACACCTGTCCACAACCTCAAACAGTCACACTCCAAACTCCACTATGGCCAAGACTAAAGAGCTGTCAAAGGACACCAGAAACAAAATTGTAGACCTGCACCAGGCTGGGAAGACTGAATCTGCAATAGGTAAGCAGCTTGGTTTGAAGAAATCAACTGTGGGAGCAATTATTAGGAAATGTAAGACATACAAGACCACTGATAATCTCCCTCGATCTGGGGCTCCACGCAAGATCTCACCCCGTGGGGTCAAAATGATCACAAGAACGGTGAGCAAAAATCCCAGAACCACACGGGGGGACCTAGTGAATGACCTGCAGAGAGCTGGGACCAAAGTAACAAAGCCTACCATCAGTAACACACTAAGCCGCCAGGGACTCAAATCCTGCAGTGCCAGACGTGTCCCCCTGCTTAAGCCAGTACATGTCCAGGCCCGTCTGAAGTTTGCTAGAGTGCATTTGGATGATCCAGAAGAGGATTGGGGGAATGTCATATGGTCAGATGAAACCTAAATATAACTTTTTGGTAAAAACTAAACTCGTCGTGTTTGGAGGACAAAGAATGCTGAGTTGCATCCAAAGAACACCATTCCTACTGTGAAGCATGGGGGTGGAAACATCATGCTTTGGGGCTGTTTTTCTGCAAAGGGACCAGGACGACTGATCCGTGTAAAGGAAAGAATGAATGGGGCCATGTATCGTGAGATTTTGAGTGAAAACCTCCTTCCATCAGCAAGGGCATTGAAGATGAAACGTGGCTGGGTCTTTCAGCATGACAATGATCCCAAACACACCGCCCGGGCAACGAAGGAGTGGCTTCGTAAGAAGCATTTCAAGGTCCTGGAGTGGCCTAGCCTGTCTCCAGATCTCAACCCCATAGAAAATCTTTGGAGGGAGTTGAAAGTCTGTGTTGCCCAGCGACAGCCCCAAAACATCACTGCTCTAGAGGAGATCTGCATGGAGGAATGGGCCAAAATACCAGCAACAGTGTGTGAAAACCTTGTGAAGACTTACAGAAAACGTTTGACCTGTGTCATTGCCAACAAAGGGTATATAACAAAGTATTGAGAAACTTTTGTTATTGACCAAATACTTATTTTCCACCATAATTTGCAAATAAAATCATAAAAAATCCTACAATGTGATTTTCTGGATTTTTTTTCCTCATTTTATCTGTCATAGTTGACGTGTACCTATGATGAAAATTACAGGCCTCTCTCATCTTTTTAAGTGGGAGAACTTGCACAATTGGTGGCTGACTAAATACTTTTTTTCCCCACTGTATATATGCCACACAGGTGATGATGATGACTGACCTGCTGCGTCCCGTCCTTGCTGTTTGCCCCTTCTCTTCCCTTTCCCGCCGCCCACCTCTCCCCCCCGCCGTCTCTTCTTCTCCTCGCTGGCCCTTGAGCCCCGTTTGCACTTCCTGATATTACACTTCTTCCTCTGGACTGTCTCGGGGCAGGGCTCCCCTCCAAAGTTGGGCTCCAGCTTCACCATGCGTGTCCTGATGGTGTGGCCTTTACCGCAGGACTTATTACACTCGGACCACTCCGTCCACTCTGACACCATGCAGTCCATAGCTGGGGAGAGATGAGAGAGAGAGAAAAGAGACAGAAGAGAGAGAGAGAGAGAGAGGTGAATGACGTATAAGTGACTGACTGTCTGACTTATTTGTTTATTTCTTTGTTTATTCAGATCACCATTAGCTTTTACAGAAGCAGCAGATACTGTTTCTGGGTTCCACAAAAATCACAAAACATGATAAGTAACAAAACACTGATAGACAAGGATAGTCACACACATTTAAAATACAACATATACAAACAATACAACAACAAAAATAATGTGTGTTTAATCTGTTTTTTAAATGTAATTTTGCTGTTTGCTTGAGTAATTGGAGATGGGGACTATGAACTTGGGGACTATGAAGAGACCCCTGGTGGCATGTCTTGTGGGGTATGTACGGGTGTTTGAGCTGAATATTATTTGATTATGCAGACAATCTGGAATTTTTGTCACAGTAATATTGCTCATAAAAACTAGAAGAGAAGCAGTTAATCTCTCGTCAACCGTCAACCAGGAAAGACTGGCATGCATGTTGTTGATGTTAGTTCTGTATGTGCAGTTAAGGGCAAGGTGTGCTGCTCTGTTTTGAGCCAGCTGCAGCTTTGCTAGGTCTTTCTGTGCTGCACCTGTCCATATTACTGGACAGCAATCAAGATGGGACAAGACCAGAGCCTGAACAACTCGTACAGTTGATTTTTGTGTCAAAAATGCAGAACATCTTTTTATAACAGAGATACCCCTCCTCATCTTCACAACAACTTTGTCAATGTGACTTGACCATGATAATTGACCATCCAATTTTATACGTAGGAGTTTAGCTTCCTCAACTTGCTCAATGGTCACACCCTTTATGTACAATTCCAGCTGAGGTTTAGGTCTTAGAGAATGTTGTGAACCAAATACAATGCTTTTAGTTTAAGACCAGTTTATTATGAATCACCCATTCTGATACTGACTGTAACTCCTTATTTAGAATTTCAGTGAGCTCACTGGCTTTGGGTGCTGATATGTAGAGTGTGGAATCATCCGCATACATAGTCATTTTAGCTATGTGTAAGACCAGTGGCAAATCATTTGTAAAAATATAGAAGAGTAACGGCCCAAGGCAACTGCCCTGAGTGACACCGCATTGTACATATCTGATGTTAGAGAAGCTTCCATTGAAGAACACTCTCTGGGTTCTAGTGGATAAATAACTCTCCAACCATGTGATGGCAGGTCATGTAAAGCCATAGCAAGTGAGTTTTTTTCAATAACAATTTATGATCAATAACATCAAAGGATAAACTGAAATCTAAAAATACAGCTCCAACTATCTTCTTATTATACAGTTATTTTAACTAGTCATCTGAGTCAGTGCAGTACAAATTGAGTGCTCTTCTCTATATGCATGCTGAAAGCCAGTAGTTAACCTCTACGGGATCGGTGTCACGTATACGGGACGGTTGAGCTAACGTGAGCTAATGTGATTAGCATGACTGTTGTAAGTACCAGCAAACTCTCCAGGACATAGTCATGTCTTATATGGGCAGAAAGCTTACATTCTTGTTAATCTAACTGCACTGTCCAATTTACTGTAGCTATTACAGTGAGAAAATACCATGCTATTGTTTGAGGAGAGTGTACAACAACAACAAAAAACTTATCACGGCAACTGGTTTGATACATTCACCTCTGAAGGTAAATAATGTACTTACATTCAGTAATCTTGCTCTGATTTGTCATCCTGAGGGTCCCAGAGATCAAATGTAGCATAGTTTTGTTTGATAAAATCCATTTTTATATTCAAATGTAGGATCTGGGTTCTACAGTTTGAATCCTTGGTGTCTCTGGCTCCACACCCACACCGCCCGGCCATCTAGATGTGTTAAAGTTGGTGTATAAGCTAATGCTCCATCATGTATGACATTCCTGGGAGTGTGTAAATGTACATTTTGTATTACCAATGTTCTCTATAGTTATGTACTTGAAAATGACCAATTCGGCACATTTGGGCAGACTTGATTCAAAATAGTCCAGTATCGCAATGCGTCACTGGATCAATCTGAAACTTTGCACACACTGCTGCTATCTAGTGGCCAACATCTAAATTGTGCTTAAACTGCAATATTATATTGTGGCCTTTCTCTTGCATTTCAAAGATGATGGAACAACAAAAAAAAGAGTAGAAAACACATTTTTTGTTGTTTGTATTATATTTTACCAGATCTAATGTGTTATATTCTCCTACATTAATTTCACATTTCCACAAACTTCAAAGTGTTTTCTTTCAAATGGTATAAAGAATATGCATATCCTTACTTCAGGTCCTGAGCTACAGGCAGATAGATTTGGGTAAATCATTTTAGGCGAAAATTGAAAAAAAAAAAGAGTACGATCCTTAAGAGATTAATTTGTTCTCTGAAAAATAGCATTGTATTTGGTCAAACACAATCCTCTCCATCAGTTTACTAAGAACAGGCAGCAAACTGATTGGGCGGCTTTTAGAGCCAGCAAAGGGTGCTGTGTTGAGGTGTGAATGACGGAGTCAGGCTTAGGAGGTAAAACACCAAAATCCAGAGTTTATTCAGTGTACATGAATAAAGCGCAGCAAGCGTCAAAACGAAACTAGCACAAGGGAAAAATCCACCTTGGCTACATACAAGGAAAGTGTAGCTCAACCGAGCTACTCATTCTCACAAAGAACAATCACTCACAAAGGATAAGGGGGCAGAGGGAACACTTATACACAGACTAATGAGGGAATGAGTACCAGGTGTGTGTGATTGACAAGACAAGACAAGACAAGACAAATGGAGTGATGATAAATGGAGTGGTAGTGGCTAGTAAGCCGGTGACGACGAACGCCGAAACCTGCCCGAGCAAGGAGGAGGGGCAGCCTCGGCTGAATTCGTGACAGGTGCTTTACTATTTTTAGGCAGTGGAATTACTTTAGCTTCCTTCCACGCCTGTGGACACACACTCCTTTAGGCTTTGGTTATAGATATAGCAAATAGGGGTGGCAATACAGTCTGCTACCATTCTCAATAGTTTCCCATCAAGGTTGTCTTTACCTGGTGGCTTGGCTTATCACCGCTGACCAAATTTAAAACAGCAATCCTTCTCTTTCAATATTATACTTTTTTTTTCTCACAAAAATATGATGGTTCACTGTTCAATGTTGTCATTTCACTTCTGAGTTTTTCCACTTTACTATTGAAATAGTCATTGAAATGATTGGCAATATCGAAAGGTTTTGTTATAAATGACCCATCAACTTCAATGAACGCTGGAGATTAATTGGGTTTTCTGCCCATTATATAATTTAAGGTACTCAATACTTTTCCCATAGTTTTTTATGTCATTTATCTTTGTTTGGTAATATAATTTCCTCTTTTTGTTAAGTTTAGTCACAAAATGTCTCAATATACAGTATGTCAACCAATCAGCTGAGCAGCCTGACTTGTTTGCCACCTCTTTTGCATCATTTCTTTAAACCATACAATTGTTTTACTCATCATCAATCCCGGGGGCTCAAACAGTTCTCACAGTTAGTTTCTTAACAGGTGCATGCTTATGTAAGGTTCTGTATTTATTTTCTTATTCAACCTTGCGTTCTTGAACGTAGCCCTGTTTCTTTGTGTTCTTGAACGTAGCCCTGTCTTTCATTTTTGTTCATTGATATCACCTGTGTTTGTTACTCACCTGGTCTCATTAGCTCCTTATTTAGTTCAGTTCATTCTGTTTGTGCGTTGTGAGGTATAGTTCGTTTTGACTCTACTAAGCCTTTTCCTAGCTCGTTTGTGAGAACCAGTTATAGCCTTCAGTCCTAGTTTTTGATTCTCCTGCCTGTTTGCCTACCTGTGTATGACCATTGCCTGCCTGTGACCACGATTCCTGCGTTTTGCGAAGGCGAAATAAACACCTGCCATGCTCTGTGTGTGAATCTACACCTTTTTCTCCCTGAGTATTCATTACAGCTTGTCAACAATTGGCATGAATAATTTTACAAATACTTCCAGTGCTGCATCTGGATACACTTCCTCATACACATCAGATCAACATAAATGTTTTACATCTTCAACATAAGAGTCTAGAGAGAACATTTTGTATGATCTCTTATAAATTACTTTAGGCCCAACCTTCGGCACTTCCTTGTCATTGCCACAATGTTATGGTCACTACAGCCAATGGAAACTGATATTGCTTTAGAGCAAAGCTCTGCATCATTAGTGAAGATATGATCAATACAAGTGGATGTCACAGATCCAACACTATTGGTATGCACTCTAATTGGTTGAGTGATAAGCTGGGTCATATTACAGGCATTAGTCACAGAAGCGTCCTCTTGAGAGGACAGCTATTTGCTAACCAGCTAATGTTTTGGTCACCCAGAAAACACACATTATCAAGCATTACACACATATTATCCAAATACTGACTGTTAGCACTTGGTGGCCTGTAGCGCACCCCAAAAGAAGAGGCTTTAGATGAGGCAGGTGAACTTGCAACCACTTCAATAACATTCTACATGAGATCCTCTCTAAGCATTACAGGAATATGGCTCTGAACATATACAGCAACACCTCCCCCATATGCATTCCTGTCTTTTCTGTAGATGTTATATCCCTGTATTGCTACTGCTGTATCGTCAAATGAATTATCTAAGTGAGTTTCAGAGATGGCCAGTATATGAATGTTATCCGATGTTAGCAAGTTATTGATTTCATGAACCTTATTTATAAGGCTACATATATTAATATGGGCTATTCTTAGCCCTTTCCTTGGTAGCTTATCGGAAATATAATAATGTAATAAAAATAATAAATATGTGTGCGATGTTGGCCTGAAGCTACTGACCCTGAGGCTTTCTCATTCCTCCCAGGCTTTTGTGAGGAAGCATGGACAATGAGCATGTCGTAGGGGATGTAAGCAATGTTCCCATGCTCTCTGGCAGCTTTCATAGGTGGGATAAGTTCATTCCGCCTATGGCGCAAAGCTTCAGAGAAGTCCTCTTTGAGGAAGATGTTGGTTC